ATGTTCTGGTTTTTGCAGTGATGTGTCCTTTGGACAGTCCCCCTTGGGAGTAAGAGCTACTGGGGTAATCACAGCGGTTGCCGCTACAGTTGGCTCAAGGATCTCCATTCGACCCATTGCTACCTCATTGTTGAGGATCGTTGAGAGCTTCTCAGGATGCGCCTTGGCCGATTTGTAATTTTCAAAGCCACGACGACAATCAATCGGAGTGTGCTTTTTGGCCTTTGGCCACAGCGCCGAGGGGGGAACGGGAACGTGGTGACCTAATGCAAACCCTTCTGCAATCTCGTGTTCAAGGATATCCCCCTCATTCGAGTAACCACAAGCTCGGAGGAGGGCACCAAGCAGGTGAGCACGGATAGGGGAACCTGGAAAGGGGGCAGAATCTGAACAGGCGAAGTCAGATGATAAGGAGTGTCTTGCATCTGCTGCCAATTTGTTCAGCCTTTCATTAAATTCGGCTTCGAGATTTGCCGGAGAGCCTTCTTTAATGACCTTGCTCAGGAAACACGTGAAATCGCTGCGGCTGATCACGCGCTGCAGGGTGTCGAGAATTCTCTGTCTTTCCACCCTGGTGGATTCAGAGGGAACTTCCCAAGGGGTAGGTCCATGTAAACCCGACCCACATGTGAAATCATTACGTCGCTGATTCGCCAGACGTTCAGTAGCACTTCGTGCTGCATTGACGAACTCAACGATCCCAGAGCAAAGGGAAGTTAGTCTTGTGAGAGAGTTCTCAGGAATTGAAGGAACAGACAGAGCTCTCGACTCACAGATTCGAGAGGGCTGTACCTCAATGGAAGATCGATCGATGGAGAGAAGGGCCGTTCGATCGAGAGGACGGCCACCAGCTAGTTTTTTGAGTGATTGGATGAGTTGACGCCACTCTTGGGACCTCTCTCCTGGCGAACCGGAGATCTCCTTCGTTGCCTCTTTGGGGAAGGATAGCCCGAGCGGGACTTTCCCGAATCATCCACATCAAAGAAGGATCTTGGGCGGCTAGGATGACGGAAGGGGCACCGATTTCCTCGCCGACAATTACCTCGCTCGTAGAAGATGCACACCTCATCAGTATGGCTTCCTACATCCTTCCCATAAATGTGATCTTTGTCTTCCAAAGTTCCCAGCTGCGCACCAACATATAAGGAGGGCGCAAGGACATTAGTCAGAACTTGAGATATGCTGTGCCCTGCTTCATGAAAGGCTGTCAGTTTCGACCGGTAGGAATGATCGAAGAGAATAGCAGAACGCGGGGACTTCTCCTCAGCCAGGGAGACTACTCGAACCAAATAAGAAAGCATACCGAGAGGATTCACCACCTGATTGTCAGGTTCCACCATGAGCAATGCCATGCACCACTTGGCGAAGCCCTCAACCCACTGTGCCAACGTGTTGATCTTCTTGACCTTCCCAATCCTGACCGCTGCCATCTTACCGGTATTGATATCTTCAAGATGTTTCACTTTGGTATTGTTGGGAGAGGAAGATGATGTGCCGAGAAATTCTTGAACTGGAATGTAGTCGTAAGGAGCCTTCCCGACCTTAGCGATCAAACTTGTAGGAGGCATAATGTTAGTGGGAAGCTCGACCTTCTTGCCAAATCTGTGGCGAAGGTTGTCCCGGTAGGACGCTAGATCATTAGCCTCTTTCTCTTGCTCCTGCCTGCGACGTTTGGCTGTACGCCAGGCCTTGGCCTCCTCAACCAGTGAGACCAGATGTAGTTTGAAGAATTGTTGTTGTTCAGCTCGGATGCGACCAGTCATACGTGTAACAGTTTCTTCACCGACATTGGCCAGCAACATAATAGAATATATCTTTTCCTCGATCAGCTGGGTAACCATGAGATCTTTGATCGCCTGGTCAATGTTCTCACCATCTAGTAAAGGATCTAGTAGATTCTTGGTAACAGTCTTCTGCTGATTAGCCATAGAAAAAAAATGGTGGAAACAAACCGTGCCTACACCAATACATTAATAAAGTGTCGTGGACAAAGACAGAAAGACTTTACATCTTAGATTCTAGCTTGATGTACTCAATCGTGACGTACTCAGCCTTGTTCATAGCGTCACACAGACCAGGGGGACAGGATAGTTGTGTCAGAGGAGTGCTTCGCACTCCCCGTATTGTGGGGCTCCACTGAGACGCATTTTACGTCTGTTAATGGATTAACTCCGGTGATAGACCCTCCTACCGTCTGATATGGCAGGAGCCTCGGCAGGCTCGACAGTGTTCTGCGAGTCGCCGTTGTTGTTTTGACAAAGAATCGGCAACTCATTTTCCTTGACCATTGTACTGGCAAAGCACCCAAGGATAAGGTTGCTAGTGAAATACCCGCTTCCTGATGTAGGAGCACGCACCACCACAGCACATTTGTGAGCGGGGTCGACAGGAGACTGCTCGAGTAACTCCCGAACAAAGCCCTCGATGGTAGAAGCATGGGATTAGTCTCGGCATCCGAGTGCAAGGGAACTATGATCACTCCCGTTCCCATAGCGATCTTCGCACAAGTCAATATACACCGCTTCTGGCGAATGGCCTTTCAGGTGGCGACGAAATGTCCTGATAGCGTCACCCAGCCAACCACTGAGACTTCCACCAGACGTAGACTTCGGTGGAGGAGTCGAAAAGCCATCAGCACCTAGATCAGTATATCCACCGGAGAGCTCGAACGTGGCTGAGGATTTGGGGATATCTTCAACAGCTTTCACGGGTAACTTAATTCTACTCTCCATCAGACTGATTGATGCATTCAAAATATCCTCCTCAATCTGCTTCTTATGTTGAGTGCAGCGGTTCTGAGCTTCTTTCAGAGCTTCAATAGCTGAAGCAACTTCTTGTCGTTGCCGCACAAGCGCCTGCGACTCATCCTTCTCCAATTGTTCGAGCCTCACCTTCTCCAGTTTGGCTTTAATTGCACGTCGCTCCTCCGCAGCCTTCTCGATTAGCTCCTCCTGCTTGCGGCGGATTGCCTCCTCTTCTTGGCAGCGAATAATATCCTGCCGTCTTTGCTCCTCGGTCTTCAGTACCGACATATTCCTGAGGACTTGACGGGCAGCAAAAGTAGCTTCGGAAGCATTGAGGCCTTCAAAGTTTGGTCGTCTACAGGCATCAGTCTCCTTGAGGCATTCCGAGAATGTAGTACTGGAAGTACTCATCGCAACTTGAACCGCATATTCACCACTTAGAACCTGCTTATGCAATCGCTCGGCT